GCTTTACCCGTCCAGTAAAAGCTGCAGGGCGAGCTTTGCCAAGGAGCTCTGTCACGCTTTGGCTTTTAGGTTAAATCCCCTTTTTTCCATACTTTTCCCTAAGGAATCCTTAAACCACTCGTTCCTGCTAAAGCAATCCCCGTCCTGCTGCCAGGGCTGGAAATTTAACTGGAATTGAGATGGGAATTCCAGTGCTTTGGCTCTGCCAGACTCCTATAAAACCGTGTCTGAGCTCCCTGTCTCCCTGGAAAAATTCCTTCCCTCTCCTGCTGCCGGCTGGCTGCTCCCAGACGTGAGGCAAGAATCCCTGGAAGCTGCAGAGGAGCTGGAAAAGGGGATTGAGCCTGACCTCTGCTTTTCCCTGGATTCCAGCAGGGTTATTCCTCCTCCTCCTCCGGGGACTCCTTGCACCGTGAACGGATCCAAGAAAAGCAGCTGGGCGGGAATAAAAAAAAAAAGGAATGCACGGGAGGGGGAAAAAAAAAGGGAAAAATCCAAGGAAATAAATCTGGATCGGGCTGGAATTGAAGGGCTGGCTCGGGAATGATTAACGGAATCAATTCTTGATTGATTGGATTTCAATCCCAATTTCCCTGTGCCGTTCCTCGCCGGAGTTCCTGGAGGTCACCGAGGTGGGAAATCCCGGGAGCTGCCTCACCTCCAGCTGCCCCTTTCCTTGGAGCATTCCCAGGAGCGGGAATGAGGTTTTTCCGTGCCTCCTTCCAGCCTCCCAGCAGGTTCAGGAGCTGGGAAAAGCCTCTCTAATTCCAAGTGATGCTCCAGCAGAGGACAGGGCAGAGCTCCAGGAGCTTTGGGAAGTGACAATTCCAGCTCTGCCCTCCTCTCCCGGGAGCTCGGATCAGCGGGAATGTGGATATCGTGGATCTAGGATCCAGCCAGCACCCATGGAATATCCTTGGGATTCCTCCAAGATACTCTTGGGATTCCTCCAAGATATTCTTGGGATTCCTCCAAATTTGCCCTTCGTGGAATCCACCCGGCTGGAAGTGGGAACACCGCACCTGAACAGGTCCAGAAGATCCCAAAAACCCCCCAGATAGCGCAGGAATTGCGGGAATGTTGCTCTCCCAGGATTGTTTGGTGGTGGCTCATTTCCCAAACTTCCCTCGCAGCCTTCAGGGCTGGGAATGGGATTTTTGCTTTCCACCCTCGTTTTCCAAAATGTTGGAATTCCTTGGGATGGACAGGATTTGCTGAATGAGGCTCCTGGGTTGGGATCATGGGATGGTTCTTCCAGCATTGGATCCATGAAAATTTGGACTGTCCCAGCTCCAGGGCAGCTCCAGCTCCTTGAACCTGAATATTCCTGAATTTTGAATCCCAGGGAGGAACCCTGACCCCAAACCATGGATAATGAAAAGCCAAATCCTTCCCCATGGAGCTGGATCCCACTTCCAGCGGGAATGAGGGGACTCTTCCATCCCTCAGTGTCCCTTCCCTGAAACAGGGATAAAAATTCCATCAGAGATGTGGGATCAGGGATGTCCTGGAAAACCTGGAAAAGCTGTGGGAGAGGGGATAAAGCCAGGACTGAAGTCACCAGTGAGACCAATCCCGTTGCAGGTGGACAATGGTTTTATTTTCCATGCAGAACAGAGGAAATCAAGGAATTCATGGATACCAGGTGTCTCAGAGGCCAGAAAAAGGGATTTTAAAACTTTATCCAGATTCAGGATGTGGGAGCAGCTCCCTGGGAATGATCAAACCTCATGGATTGGTCCCCTTGGACATTCCTGGTCTGTCCCAAACCTCACTTGGGTTCGGTGAAGGGTTGGGATGATCTGAGGAAAGCGGGAAATGAGGCTGTTCCCAGAAAAAATCCTTAAAAGCTGGTCAGGAAGGGAATGGATGGAGAATCAAGGGAGAAGCAGATTCTTGGGAATCGTGGGAATGACATGGAGCAGATCCCAGCCAGCAGCCAACGGAGCTGGGGCTGGGATTTGGGGAAGGGTCCTGGATTTTCCATCTCCTGTGCATGTGCTGGGGGGTTCCATGAGGAGCTCCTGCCTGGTGGGAATTCCTCAAATCCCAGGATAAGTGCTCCCAACCCCACCCAGAGCAGGCAGGAATGCCAGGAACATCCCAGCTGTGGTAGAGGACATTCCAGGAGCAGGGACAGGAATCCTGGGAAGGGGATCCATTCCACCAGGGATGGCTCCGGGTGGACCTGCACCGCAGCCCTGCTCCAGAGCTCCTGACAGAATTCCCTGCAAATCCAGCCCATTCCTTGGTCACTGCTGGGAATCGCCGTGGTTTTCCCAGCCAGAACCCCATGGATGTGAATTCCCAAGATATCGGGAATGTGTTTTTGGAATCCGTCCTTCACCAGGTGGGGCTGGATCCTCCTCGATCCCAGGATGGAATTTGGGATCCTGCTGTGCTTGGGAATATCCGAACTCTTGTAGCACCTCTGGTTTGCTCCGATGGGTGTGAAAAAAGTGTGAAAAAACCTTGGAGTGTTGGCACGTGGAGGAGGAAAAGGAGGATGAGGGGATTCCCGGAGGCCAGGGAAGAGCTGGATGCCCGGGGGATTTGGGATGGGCTGGATGGGATCTGGCAGTGGGAAGGATTTGGGATGAGCTGGATGGGATCTGGCAGTGGGAAGGATTCAGGATGGGCTGGATGGGATCCAGCATTGGGAAGGATTTGGGATGGGCTGGATGGGATCCGGCAGTGGGAAGGATTTGGAAGTGGATGGGATCCAGCGGTGGGAGCAGAAGGATTTGTTGGTCTGGGTGAGCAGCTCCAGCTGCAATTCCCAGAGTTTGGGTTTCATCCCTGTGAGAAAAGGCAGGAAAGGCCGAATCCTGCCTGGAATCCTCCCTTGGATCCTGCAAAACCCCACAAATTCCCCCAGGCACTGATGCCACCCTTCCCAAGCGCTCCCAAACTCTGGGTGCTCCCAGCCCCACAGGGGCATTGCTGGAGGTTCCAGGGCTCCATTCCCGTCCCGTTCCCTCAGGAGATCTGCCCGTGCTGCAGCCCCTCTGGCACCCGCGTCCTGCTGGGCAGAGCCTGGGAGGGATCCACTTGGGAGGGGTCAGTTTGGGAAGGGTTAATTTGGGAAGGATCCATTTGAGAAGGATCCATTTGGGAAGGATCCATTTGGAAAGGGTTAATTTGGGAAGGATCCATTTGGGAAGGATCCATTTGGGAAGGGTCCATTTGGGAAGGGTCCATTTGGGAAGGGTTAATTTGGGAAGGATCCATTTGGGAAGGATCCATATGGAAGGGTTAATTTGGGAAGGGTTAATTTGGGAAGAGTTAATTTGGGAAGGATCCATTTGGGAAGGATCCATTTGGGAAGGATCCATTTGGGAAGGGTTAATTTGGGAAGGGTTAATTTGGGAAGGATCCATTTTGGAAGGATCCATTCTGGAAAGAGTTATTTTGGAAGGATCCAGTTTGGAAGGGTCCATTTGGGAAGGGTCCATTTGGGAAGGGTTAATCTAGGAAGGGTTATTTTGGGAAGGATCCATTTTGGAAGGGTTATTTTGGAAGGATCCATTTGGGAAGGATCCATTTGGGTTCCAGGTGTGGGTGGGATTCTCCCTCCGGGATGCAGCTGGGAAGGAGGATCCTGCCTTCCCCATCACTCCTTCCCAGCTGTCCCTGCCTCAGCTCAGCCTGGAGCCAGCAAATCCCTGGGCTCATCCCTTCCCACTTCCCTGGGAATTCCTTTCCTTCATGGGGAGAGGAGGGAAGCTCAAGGAGCAGCTCCAGGCAGGCGACCTTTGGATTTCTGGCCTTTCCCACAGGTTGGGATGTTCTCCTTGCCTCTGGGGCTGGGAACGGATCCCAAGCTGGGCTGGTGGTGGGGAAAAGCCATTCCCAACCTGGACCGGGATCCCGGGGATCCGGTGGAAAATCTCTCCCAACTTTCTGCTCAAAGCGGGGATTTCTCCCTCGGCTCTGAGCAAATCCCTCTGTCCCTCCTTCCAAGGATCCTTGGCACATCCCAAGGTCCCAATGGAGCGTGGAAAACCTGGGGACACCTGGACAACCCACAAAGGGATGAGTGTCCATTTGGACACGGAGCAGGTGTGACCTTGTTCTTCTCGTGCCTCAGTTTCCCCAGATTGGAAAACGGGGACAATGCCCGTGTCCTGCTGGATGAGAACACTGGGAATTCACTGGGCTATAAAAATCCACGTAATCAAAGATTCCAGCGGATTGCCATGGGAACAGACCCTCCCCGTGCACCCTTGGAGATGAGGCCGGAGTCATCGTCCCTCTGATGATTCTCCAGGACATTTCCAACCCACCGGGACATTTCCATGTCCCTTGGTGTCCCACCTGGAACCTCTCCGTGGCCACGCCCTGGATGTGGCTGGTGGGATCTCATTTCCTCCTCTTGCTGAGCATCTCCAGGGGAAGAAGGACCAAATTTCTTCCCCAGATTTCTTTCCCAAATTTCTCTCCACCCCCCAAACCTACCAAATGCAGGGATGAGGGAAGAGGTGGAATTTCAGTGGGGCTGGGAGGTGGAGAGAAAGATTTTGAGGAAGGAGGGCTGGGAAAGAGCGGGATGAGCACGGATGGTGTGTGGATGAAGAGCTGAAGCTGGACCAGCTGGAAAACTGAGGTTGAGCCACGGGAAAGTGGGAAGGGACAGGTGGGAATTGTGGTGGGACCCAACGGAGCAGCCACGGAGCTGCCTGCGGCTCCTGGGATCCAAAACCCCCCGAGGTCGTGGGGTGGCCCTGGTGTCCCCGTGGGGACATGTGGGCCGTGTGGGTGGGGAGCTTGACAGTGACAAATCCAGGGAAAACCCAGGAGGTGGATTTGGGAGATCCCTCCTGAGGTTGTCCCGGTACTTTTCCCTTCCCAGTGGATCGGTGGCTGCGGCAGGGACAGCTCGTGGTGGGATTTGGGAGGGTGGGGACAGGGCCACGAGGCCGAGCTGGGGGAGGTTTTGGAATCCCTACGGGGACGATGATCCCCGGAGCAGCCGGGGCAGGAGATGGGACACCAGAGCATTGGAAACTCCAGAAATGGCAGCTTTAATCAGGAACCTTCCCGGGTGACGCGTCCCCTGTGCCCCACTGGCGACGGGAACCTCTTCCCTGCGCGTGGAAATGTCCGGAAGGAACGACGGAGGAGGGTGGGGAGGAGAGAAGGGCGGGAGAAGGATGTGAGGTCGCTGGATGGGTCAGAACCAGACAATGCCGCTGTCACACATCGGTCCCCTCGGGCGGTGGCCCGGTCACTTCCTCCGCCCAATCTGGGCCATGAGGTGGGCGTTGGCCGCCGCCTTGGCCCTCAAGTTCTTGGCCTTGGCGATGTTGAAGAGGATGTTCATGATGTTGGTGGGGACGTCGAGCGACAGCGTGACCTTGGTGTGCCGGTCACTCTTGGCCCGGTTCTGCGAGCTCTTGCCCTTCAGCCGCGCCTGGGACGCGTATCGGGAGTGGCCGTCCCCCGGGAATGTCCTTTTCCCCAGCTCTTCCTCCTCCGCCTCCTCCTCGGACGCCTCCTCCAGGGACGGTGACTCGGAGCCGCGCTTGTCCAGGACGGCGTTTTCCTCGGGATGGATCTTCTGCGCTTCCGACAGGGCGGCGTTGAGGCAGCTGAAGATGGAGGCGGCGTTGGAGAGGCTTAGGGCCCGGCCGGTCCCGGCAGCTCCGAGCAGGATGAGGAGGAGCAGCAGCCTGGGGTGGGACATGGCGGTGGCCTGGCCGTGGAGACACCGAGGAGAGGGATGTGAACTTCCCGTGGGACCTGGGGAGATCCGGCCTCTCCTCATCCCTTCCCAATCCCTAAACTCCCCTCCCTGCGCCCTTGGAGTCTCCTCCCAGGTCCCATCTAAAGGTTAGGACAGGTGGGAATGAGCTTCCTTGAGATTTGGGGTGCTGGTGGCAGGTGGGATGTCCAAGGAGCTTCCCTTCCATGGAGCTTCAGTGGAGCTTCCATGGAGGTGAGGATTTGACCTTTGGAACTTTCATGGAACTTCCATGGAGAGGAGGATTTGGCCTTTCCTTTGTGGAATTTCCATGGAGGTGAGGATTTGACCTTTGGAGCTCCATGGAACTTCCATGGAGGAGAGGATTTGGTCTTTCCTTCATGGAGCTTCCACAGAGCTTCCATGAAGGGAGGATTTGGCCTTTCCTTTGTGGAGTTTCCATGTAGGTGAGGATTTAACCTTTGGAGCTTCCATGGAGCTTCCATAGAGAAGAGGATTTGGCCTTTGCTTCCATGGAGCTTCCACAGAGCTTCCATGGAGGTGCGGATTTGGCCTTTGTGGAATTTCCATGGAACTTCCACAGAGCTTCCATGGAGGTGCGGATTTGGCCTTTGGAGGTTCCATGGAGCTTCCATGGAGAGGAGGATTTGGCCTTTGCTTCCATGGAGCTTCCATGGAAGGAAAGATTTGGCCTTTCCTTGGAGCTTCCACAGAGCTTCCATGGAGGGGAGGATTTGGCCTTTGTGGAATTTCCATGGAACTTCCACAGAGCTTCCATGGAGGAGAGGATTTGACCTTTGGAGCTCCATGGAGCTTCCATGGAGGAGAGGATTTGACCTTTGTTTCCATGGAACTTCCATGGAGAGGAGAATTTGGCCTTTCCTTCACGGAACACACGTGGCTGCTGCTGGAGACCTGGTTTGGACCACGGGGACGATTCCCATGGATCCCTCTCCACCTCCTCCTACTTGAAATATCATCATTTTTGGGGTCTTTTTGGGGCCCTGTAAATCCCTGGAAAACTCTCCTGCTCCACAACCCCTCCCCATCTCCCTTTATCCCCAAAAAGCCACTGAGGATCTCCCATGGGGCTTTTTGCCCATTCCCAGGATGGAAAAATATCCCAAGCTCATGGAATCCTTCAGGAATTCCCAAAAACCTGGAATCCTTCTGGAATTCCCAAAAACCTGGAATCCTTCAGGAATTCCCCAAAACCTGGAATCCTTCTGGCATTCCCAAAAACCTGAAATCCTGCTGGCATTCCCAATCTTCTGGCCCCATCTTGTGGCCAGCGGCTCTCACGGCAATTCCTGGCTGGGGACAATCCCCAGGGAATCCAGCTGGGGCTGGAATTCCATCCTTGATTTTGGAGTTGGGAGCTGCTGGTTCCATTCCCGCGGGGGCTTGCGGAGCAGCCGGATTTCTTGGGAATATCCCTGGGAATGAGGGATCAGATCCATCCAAACTCAATCCATGACCCGGGATCTGTCCCTGAAAATGCCCTTCCATGTCCATGGAGGTTTGGGAATTTTCATCCTCTAAATTCTGCCTTTTGTCATTCATTGGAGAGGGAATTTTGGGAGGGTTTATTCCCTGAATTCTGCCTTTTGCCATCCCCTGGAGTGGGAATTTTAGGAAAGTTTATTGCCTGAATTCTGCCCTTTGCCATCCTCTGGAAAGGGAATTTTGGGAAGATTTCTCCCCTTCAATTTTCCCTTTGCTGTTCCTCAGAGTGGGAATTTTGGGCAGATTGATTCCCTTAACTCTTCCCTGTTCCATCCCTTGGAGAGGGAATTTTGGGAAGGTTTATTCCCTGAATTCTGCCTTTTGTCATTCCTTGGAGGTTTGGGAATTTTGGGAAGATTTATTCCCTGAATTCTGCCCTTTGCCATCCTCTGGAGAGGGATTTTTGGGAAAGTTTATTCCCTGAATTCTGCCTTTTGCCATCCCCTGGAGGAGGAATTTTGGAAAAGTTTATTCCCTGAATTCTGCCCTTTATTTTCCAAGGAGGAGGAGATTTGGGAAGGTTTATCCCCTTAAATCTTCCCTTTTCCATCCCTTGGAGACAGAATTTTGGGAAGGTCTTTTCACTTAAATCTGCCCCTTGCTGTTCCTCAGAGTGGGAATTTTGGGAAGGTTTATTCCCTGAATTCTGCCCTTCATTGTCTATGGCAGGGGAATTCCGGGAATTTTCATCCTCTAAATTCTGCCTTTTGCCATCCATTGGAGTGGGAATTTGGGGAAGGTTTATTCCCTAAATTCTGCCCTTTGCCATCCTTTGGAAAGGGAATTTTGGGAAGATCTCCCCCCTTCAATTTTCCCTTTGCTGTTCCTCAGAGCAGGAATTTTGGGCAGATTGATTCCCTTAACTCTTCCCTGTTCCATCCCTTGGAGAGGGAATTTTGGGAAGGTTTATTCCCTGAATTCTGCCTTTTGTCATTCCTTGGAGGAGGAATTTTGGGAAGATTTATTCCCTGAATTCTGCCCTTTGTCATCCTCTGGAGAGGGATTTTTTGGAAAGTTTATTCCCTGAATTCTGCCTTTTGCCATCCCCTGGAGGAGGAATTTTGGAAAAGTTTATTCCCTGAATTCTGCCCTTTATTTTCCAAGGAGGAGGAGATTTGGGAAGGTTTATCCCCTTAAATCTTCCCTTTTCCATCCCTTGGAGACAGAATTTTGGGAAGGTCTTTTCACTTAAATCTGCCCCTTGCTGTTCCTCAGAGTGGGAATTTTGGGAAGGTTTATTCCCTGAATTCTGCTCTTTGCCATCCCCTGGAAAGGGAATTTTGGGAAAGTTTATTCCCTGAATTCTGCCCTTTGCCATCCCCTGGAAAGGGAATTTTGGGAAGATCTCTCCCCTTCAATTTTCCCTTTGCTGTTCCTCAGAGCGGGAATTTTGGGCAGATTGATTCCCTTAACTCTTCCCTGTTCCATCCCTTGGAGAGGGAATTTTGGGAAGGTTTATTCCCTGAATTCTGCCTTTTGTCATTCCTTGGAGGAGGAATTTTGGGAAGATTTATTCCCTGAATTCTGCCCTTTGTCATCCTCTGGAGAGGGATTTTTTGGAAAGTTTATTCCCTGAATTCTGCCTTTTGCCATCCCCTGGAGGAGGAATTTTGGGAAAGTTTATTCCCTGAATTCTGCCCTATATTGTCCAAGGAGGAGGAGATTTGGGAAGGTTTATCCCCTTAAATCATCCCTTTTCCATCCCTTGGAGACGGAATTTTGGGAAGGTCTTTTCCCTTAAATCTGCCCCTTGCTGTTCCTCAGAGCGGGAATTTTGGGCTGATTGATTCCCTTAACTCTTCCCTGTTCCATCCCTTGGAGAGGGAATTTGGGGATCCTTTATTCCCTTTAGGTCTGCCCCTTGGAGAGGGAATTTTGGGAAGATTTATTCCCTGAATTCTGTCTTTTGTCATTCCTTGGAGAGGGAATTTTGGGAAAGTTTATTCCCTGAATTCTGCCCTTTGCCATCCTCTGGAAAGGGAATTTTAGGAAGATCTCTCTCCTTCAATTTTCCCTTTGCTGTTCCTCAGAGCGGGAATTTTGTGCAGCTTTATCCCTTTGACTCTGCTCTTTGCTCTCCATGGAAAAAGGGAGAGATTTGGGAATTTTGTTCCCTTTCCCACCTTCCCGAGGTGAGGTTTGGCCGTTCCAATCCTCCCTCAGGATTCCATTTCCGCTTCTTTCCCTCTCATTTCCCCCTTCCCAAAACCCCTCAGGGCATCCCAAAAATCCATCCCCCTCAACCCTTCCCTGGATCCGGATGGGAGAGGACGAGGAAGAGCCATGGAATGATCCAGGGAAAGCAGGAAAACCCTTCCCAGGTTCCCAGAATCCCACACGGGATCGTTTAGGACCCCAAACTTTCCTTTCCTCCAGCCCCAAATCTCACATTTGGAGATTCAAACATGGAAATATCCCAGGATTTAATTTTTCTTGGAAAAGAGGATGGAGATTTGGCAACAGGGATTTTTCCATGTGTTCCAAGGCTGAGGCTCCTGAAGGACTCAGGATTTCTCCCACCCCAAAATTCCCTTTTTTTTTTTTTTTTCCCAGATTTTCACCTCGCTCCACCCTCACCAAATTCCCGCAGCTCCTGCGGGATGGGATGCTCGGGGTGTGAATTTTGGGATCGGGGATTTTCCCAGCCCTGGGGGATGGATCATTGCGTGATTCCCAAATCCCGGATGGGGAATGGGAATGTTGCCAAAAACCCTCCCCGAGCTTCCTGGGGGACCCCTGGGATTTTCCTGCCCCGCTTGGAATCCCGGAGCTGCATTTCCCCCGCGGCTCCTTCACCACTGACTGAATCCAGCGCCTTTTTCTGGGATTTTTTTTCCCAGCTTTTCCCGCTTAACAAAACTCTGGGAATCTCAGCTGAGGAAAGGGAAAGGCAGAACAAGGGGAAAATGCGGCTGGAGCCATCCACACCCATTCCTGCTCCTCGCCGGGATGGATATCCTGGCAAAACGAGCAGAAATCAAAGGAAAAAAAACCAAGGAAAAGCTGATTTTTTTGGGATTGGGTTCATTTTTACCGGGGGGGAGGGGGGAGTTGTGCCCCACCGCTCCAGGAAGTTCTTATTGAGCAGGAAAAAAAGCTGGAATTGGGTTTTTCTCCTCGCTAAAAAAAGGCAGGAAAAGGAGGAAAACCCACCCGCGGTGGATCCGAGGAGATGGGAATGAAATCCGCGCTGCCGGAGGGAGCCGCTCCTCCCGCCGGGAACTGCTGGGATACCCAGGAGCGTTTTCCAGGAATTTTCTCGGGATGCTGCCGAGCCGGCAGGAGCGTTTGTGTCTCCTGGGAAATCTCCCGCTTGCTTTGGAAGGAGGAAAACGCCCAAATTCCAGCTCTGGTAAAACGGGATCGGAGCTTTCCGGCCGCTCCTCGGGACCGGGATCGGGATGGAGCGGGATTCTCCCTGATCCAAAGTAAGTCTGGGATAAAACTGTGGATGGGACCTGGAGACTTCTTAAACTCTGCCTGCCTCCGCTTCCCTGAGGAGCTTTTCCCGGTGCTGATTCCCAAAATCCAGTGCCTCGCTCTCCTCCCCATCCCTGCGGTGCCAGCAGGGATTTATCTCCCGATTTTTCCTTTTCCCAAATTTTCCCAATCCTTCCCCATGCTCCCTATTCCGATCCGCCTCCCAAAATTACCGGAATAATAATAATAATAAAAACAATAAATTATTTTTCCTAGGAGGGACAGCGATGGGAATTTTGAATCCCTTGATATCCAAATACCTTGGATTGCTTTTCCCGATTCTGCCTAATTTTATTTCTCCCTAAAAAAACCCCAAAAACCCCCCAAAAATCAACAACCCTGGAATCTGATTTCCCAAGGAAAACACTGAAATATTGAAAGTTTCTGGAAACTGGGGAATAAATGAAACCCTGGCACTCACCTGCTTCTCCTGGATTCTTGGGATGGGAAGGATTTGCCGTGGAATCACTCCCGGGAAAGAGGCATCGGGAGCCTTTCCCGAACTTCTCCTCCCTGGCTCTTCCCTGATTCCTTTTTCAGGGACCGGGATATTTTTTTCCCTCTCTCTGGAAACCTTTTCCCCCCTCCCTGGTGTATTTATAAAAAATGAGGGATCACGGGGTTGGAGTCGTAATTCCAGACGTGGAGCCGTGCTTTGGGAATGATTTCATTAAAATGAGATCAGAGTGAGCTGGCGACGTCACGGAGCCTCTCCCCATCCATCTGCAGGGAAAAAATCCGGGAAAAGGAGGAGGGAGGGGGGGAAAGACGTCGGATCCCAAAAATCTGGGAAGAGTCACCCCAAAGCGGGGCTGGCATTTTGTAGGATCACGCACGGCTTTGTCCCCGGGGTTTTGGGGGCAGGGATGTTTTAATTCCAAAGGTTTTTCTGGCTCTGAGGAGTGTTGGCGTTCCAGCATGGATTGACGTTATCCCAATGAATGTGGTTTTATTCCCAGAGTGGGGATTTGGGAGGGTTTTCCCTGTTTTTCCCCATTTCCAGGGAATTTTCCCCATTCAAGCAGGGAAAACCCTGGGAAATGGAAATTTTGGGAAACTTCTTCCGGGATTTGTTGGCACGATCCCAGGTGGAGCTTTGGAAGAGGATGGGAAGGACGAGGTGTGGGATGAGGGAAGAAATCTCCAATTCCCTGAAACTTCAGCAGGATTAATTTGGGATTAATCCCAAAAATCCAGCAGCCGGGTGGGAAAAAATCCCAGTTTGGGCTCCCAGCACCAGACTGGTCCCAGTGTGGGATTCCCAGAGAGGAAATTCCTGGAATCCCCCAAGGTTTGGGAGCAGGAGAGACGGGGATGGGAATTTGGGAACAAGGATGGGAATTTGGGAACAGGGATGGGGATTTGGGAACAGGGATGGGGATGGAGATTTGGGAACAAGGACGAGGATTTGGGAACAGGGATGGGAATTTGGGAACAGGGATGGAAATCCAGGAACAGGGATGAGGATGGGGATTTGGGAACAGGGATTTTCCATGGGATCCAAGGAAGATCTCAGGTCTCTGGTTCTCACTCCAAAGGGTCCCACCATGGATTTGTGGCTGGGCCGGGTTCTCCTGGAGGCTCCAGGACCAAATTATCCAAACTTCCTTCCTGAAACTTCCTTGGAAAAGCCATCACCAAACTGGAGGGGAGCTGTTATCCCTGGGAATGGGGAAAATCCTGCAAAAAGTGGGAAAATCCATGGAAAAACCCCCAGAACTGGCAGAGACCCAGGATGGGCTCTGATTTTGGGTGGGGAGATGTTCCCACTCCTGGCCTGGAGAGAAGGAGCCAAAATCACGGGAATTCCTGGATGAGGATCCAGGATCTGAGCTGGGAATGGCGGGAGCTTCCCTTTGGCTCCAAACTTTGGGAATTCTGCCCAACGGGATCCGCCTCTCCGGCAACTCCTTCCTCTCCTACCGCAATTCGGAGCTTCCAGCTCCTGGAATGAGATTTTGGCTTCCCTCCTTCCCCGAGGTCTGGGTGGGAATTTTCTTCTCCCAATGTTTGGAATTTTGGAGCTGTTTCTGGCAAAGAAAACTCCCAAAAAACTTCAGCACAAGGAGCTGGGTGGGAAAATCCATGTAAGGGATTTTTCCAAGGAAAAGGATCAGGACACGGCCCCGAGAGATTTTTTCCACCTCCGGATCCGATCCTGGGGTGTTTTCCCGAGTTTTATTCCCTCACAGATTTATTTTCCCGTGAAAATCTTTGTTGGGAAAGGAAAAATGTCCTGGTAGGAGGCTCCAGACCCGGGAATTTCTGTGTTTCAGACATGGAATTTTCACGGTGGTTTTCCAAAGGAAAAATAGGGAAGAGAAGGAAAAAAGAAGGAATTTCCTGGTTCATCCCTTGAAAAGTAAATCTGACTTTTTGGCTGCCATGGTTTGGAATTCCCCGGGAGGAGCAGAGAGGAGAATTTGCCGCAGGAAAATCGTATTTCCAAGGGAAAAATCCGTAGAAACATCCCTAGGGAAAGATGGAGCTGAGCCAGGAACATCCAGGGGCACCCAGAGGTCTCAAACTTTCCGGAAGTTTCCCTGATAAATCCCAAACTTTTGAAAAACGCAGGATAGAGGAGCATTCCCACACATCCCTCAGATTCCGGAGGATCAGGACCCTTTTCCCACCTCTCCTCACCTTTCCCGGGAGCTGAATTTCCGGGAGTGAATCATTGCTTGGAGCTCATTAAAGTTTCATCTCCGCAAGCCGGGGAAAATCAGGGATTTGGGCTCTTTTCATCCCAGGAACTTCTTAAACCAAAATAAAATCCCAAATCCAGGAAGTTTTTCCAGGCCCAGGAGATCCCGTTTGGTGCTTCCAGCGCCGGAATTCCGTGGAGGAGTCGGACGTGGACGCGCCGAGGGACAAAAAGGATTTTTCCGCTCGGTTTTGTCCCTTTCCCCCCAATTTTTAGGGCTTGATTTGCGTTTTCCAGGCTGTGGAAGGAGGAGAATTTCCATGGGAAATTCCCAATTTCCCCCAAATCCTACAGCAAACGCTTCCTCTGCCTCGAGGCTGATTTAGGGAATTTTATGGGATTTTATGAGATTTCTCTTCCTTAAAATCCCATTTTGGGGGTGATTTTTACTCCTTCCGACAGCTCAAATCCACAAAGTTTTCCCAAGGTGGCCAAATATTGGAAAACTCCATCCAGTGGGAAGAGAAGAGCCGGGAAGAGAGAATTTGGAGGAATTATTTTGCCTTTTTTGCGCTTTTTCCCGCCTTTTCCAAAGGGATTTGCATCCCTGGATTTCCACAAAGCTCTCCTTGTTTCATCTTCCGGGGAATTAATTAAATTAATTCAATTGATTAAATTAATTAAATCCTTTTGGATGACAGTGGGATGTCAGGAAAACTCCTTGGGATGAACTGGATTGGGGCTTTTTTTGGAAATTCCCAAAAATCCCTCAGGCCAAACCCAAAATTCCAACTCCACTGGCAATGGGAATGAATTTAATGGAATTAAAACTTGGATTTTGTGGCTTTCCCTCCAAAGGAAGAGGAGAAAAAAGTGATGGAAAAGGAAAAATAATCCTAAATCCTCCACATTTTTCCTGGAATGTTTTTATTCCTTCCCCTCATCTCCTTCCCCTTTTCCAAAGGGATTTTTGCACCTCCCTGAATCCACATTCCAGGTTGGAAGGACCAAAAAAAAATCCAGGAAAATGCGAAGGGAGCCCGGATCCTCACACGGACTCCAGGAATTTTCCCTGGTTTTGTGTGTCCTGATGTAAAATCCGCTTTTATGCCAAGGATCTGAGTCTTGATGGAGCTGCTCCCGCTTTTTCCTGCATCCAGAGCTGGGATCCGATCCCACTGCTGAGGCTGGGAAAGGCTGGAAAAGGCTGGAAAAGGCTGGAAAAGGCTGGAAAAGGCTGGAAAAAGATGGAAAAGGCTGGAAAAGTTCAGGGAATATTTTGTTCCCTCCAGGTGGGTTTTGTTGCCTTTACAGGATTTTTTCGCCGGGATTTTCCGGGTGGTTTCAGGTGCCAAATGGAGCAGGACAAACAGCCCCAGGTGGGATTTTCCCTTGGTTTTCCAGGGGCAAACCCATCCCAATTTTCCCCTCTGGCAGAGCTGCCTGGAATTGGAGTTTTTCCAGGCTTTTCCGATGATTTTTCGCCTTCCCAGGGATGCTGGGATGCAATTCCAGCCTTGGGATGGGATGGGATGGGATGAGGATTTGGGAACAGAGATGAGGATTTGGGAATGGGGATTTGGGGACAGGGATGGGGATTTGGGAATGCGGATAAGGATTTGGGAACAGGGATGGGGATTTGGGAACGGGGATGAGGATTTGGGAATGGGGATGAGGATTTGGGAACAGGGATGGGGATTTGGGAACAGGGATGAGGATTTGGGAACAGGGATTTGGGGACAGGGATGAGGATTTGGGAACAGGGATGAGGATTTGGGAATGGGGATTTGGGAATAGGGATGAGGATTTGGGAACAGGGATGGGGATTTGGGAACAGGAACAGGGATTTCACCCCAAAAGGACTGTGGATGGCAGGAAAACCTCCTGGAGAGGGTGGAGGGAGTCACAGAGGCTTTTCCAAGATTTAGGCCAGGCTGGATGAGCCGTCCCTGCCCATGGGATGAGCATGGATCCATGGGCTGGATCCTTTCCAAGCCAACCATTCCATGATTCCAGGATTAAATCCAGCCCTCCATTAACGGCACCTTTAATTCCTCCCCTTGTAAAAATCCATAATTAACGAGCCTGGCTGAGCGCAATTCCAGCTGGGAACAATCCCACCCAATTCCACCGGGGATTTGCCGGGCTGCTTTTCCATCTGCCAGGATTCTGTCGGCTCCTTCCCGACGTATCCAAGCCCATCTCCCAGCACATCCAGAGGGTGCTGGATGAGGCTCAGCCGTGGCCATTTCAGGGCTGGCTCATTATCCAATTACCGAATTATCCCGATCCAGCCTCTCCTCCCTCTCCATCCCTTTTCCTTTGTCGGGGTTGCTTAGGAACTGCCGCGGACATCGGAGGCTGCGGCCGGGAGAGTTTCAAGATTCCCTGTCTGGATGCACCGGGAATCTCCTCCTGGAAAGGGGCTGGGAGCGCTCCTAAATCCATGGATTCGCATCCCTGGGCTCAGCGCTGGAGCCGCAATTCCCTCGGATCGGAACACGATCCAAAATCCCTCTTTATTCCCAAATTTAGTGAGGATTTGTCAGCGTGCTCGATGTGCTTTAAATCCCAGAATTCCAGTGCTCAGCTTTGCTTTTTCCGAGGCCAAAGGATGTTCAGGAATTTTCTGGTTCGGAGCCCGGAGAGCCCTAAAACCTCTCCCCCCACTCCTGCTCTGAAATCATTCCAAGGAACTTGATTAGGCCGACCTGACATTGCCAGGGAAACACCGGCGCCCCTTTCCCGGAATGTTTTGGCCCTGCCAAAGCCTGGATGGCAAATCCATAGGGAACATTTGATTAATCCAGGGGGGATGAAAAGAAATTCCAGGTCTCAATTTCCCCGAGCTCTGATGGGGATTTGAGCCGGGTTTAATTCACTGAACTCGACCTTAGGCCTGCCTAAATATCGGCTCTCGCTTCCCGGTTCTTCCAAAGCTGGATTAAATCACTTGGATCCCTCAGGAGGTGTTTGAGCCAAATCATTCCCTTGGGAATTCCTTTGGATCCTCCTGGACCAGGAGGCCAAATCCTTCTCCAGCCTTGGATTTGGAGCCAAAAGCTGCCGAGAAATTCCAGAGCCAGGGAGGTGAGGTCTGATTTTTTTAGGGATGGCACTGGGCTGGAAAGGGAAAATGAAGGGATTGTCCAAAATATTCTGGGAATAACAACTCAGGAAGGGAAATTCCCAGATCCCACAGGTCCATCCCTCCCCTCCTGCCGCCTCCACCCCTGTGGATTCCCAGATCTAAAAATGATTTCCATGGAATTTCTGCTGCTTGGCGTCTCCTCAGCCTCGGAGACAACTTCCCACACCTGCCAAGGGATCCATAGAGGGGGATGAGGGATTTTTCCTCTTGGATTTGGGAAAAAATTCCACTTTGAGTTCTTAATGAGCACTTAATTATTGAATAGGCTGTTATCCCTAATGGAATGAAGAGGGTTTTTAACATGGATATGGAGCGATAGAACACAGGGAATGGCTTGAAACTGGAATGGGGCAGGGATGGAATGGGATCTGGGGAAGGAATTCCTGGCTGGGAGGGCGGGGAGGGGCTGGGATGGAATTCCCAGAGCAGCTGTGGCTGCCCCTGGATCCATGGAATGTCCAAGGCCAGACTGGACGGGGCTTGGAGCAGCCTGGGATAGCGGAAGAATCAATCCCAACCATTCCATGATTTTATTTTCCAATCAGGAAAACTCTGGCTCCTCCAAGTCTCTGTTTCCCTGATGATTTTTGCCCATTTAATTTGGGAATGACATTTTTTTCCCTGATTATTTCAAATCCTTTGTTTCCCTGGATGGGTTCAACCCCCCAGGGCTGGAATTCCACTCCTTCCATGTTTCCTGGAATGCTGAATTCCAGAGGCTGCAGCATCCCAAGATCAGCATCCTTCAGCATTCCTGGGTAAATTCTCACCGGGAAACCAGGAAAATGGGAAAAAGTGGGAATGTTTCTCAGAATTCCAGGATTTCAGGAAGAGAGGCTGGAATTGTCACTCTGGAAATGGCACTCGGCTCCTCACCAAGGTTTACAGAATTCCATGATTTTCATTTCTTTTTTGGGAGGAAAAGGAAGGAAAGTCCCCAAATCTCCGGGTGAGCAGAATCCTGGGATTTTGTGATTGGGAGAATCCTTTTCCTGCCTGTGCTACCAGGAGCAAAGAGCCAGCCCCGAATCCTGGGAAATCTGAAATCTGGGAACTCTGAACCCTGGGAATTCCGAGCTCAGTTTTGCCAAATTATATGGAAAACCTTTCATAAATCCCTGGTTTTCCATTGGAAGTCCTGTAACTTTTCCAAGGGACTGTCCCATGGAGATTCCACTGGACAGGATCCCTTTCAGCTGTGTCCGTGTCTCCATGGGACCAAAATCCAGGGATTTAGAATCCCTCTTACTGGATTCCCACATTATTGGAATTCCACAAGTTGCAGCTCTAAGCTCCTTGGGGAATTGGAAGTGGAATTTTTTAGGGAGAAACCTGGCTTGGATCCCTATTTTTTCCTTGGAGATTTTTTTTTAACCTGCCCAGGGAATTCCCAAGTGGAGAAGGTGGGAATTCCTAAAGGCTCCAGGGAATTCCTGAAGGCCCCAGGGAATTTGGAAAAATAGATATTCCCACCTTTCTCTGCCATTCCCAAGTTTTCCTCCTTTCAGACGAACGACCCAGAATTCCATGGCACCGAGACGCTTTTATTTTACAAAAATAAAACTCGGGAATTTGTGCCACCTGGATTGGCTCAGGAATTCTGCCCTTCCCAACCTCCTTTTCCTGAGGTTTCTCCTCTCCTCATCCCATAATATCCGTCATTCCAGTTTTCCGACATCTTTTTTTCCCAACATCTTCATGTTTGCTTTTCCCGTCCCTACCAGAGGCGTCGGATTCGCTCCTCCCAATCCCGCTGGATTTAAATGAAGCACTTGGAGCCGCTCATTTCCCTCTGCCTGGTTTGGGAAAAAAAGGGAAGAGGAAACAATGGGAATGCCGGAAGTTGGCTGCAGTTTGGGCTCCCCCTTGGAATTCCCAAGCGGCTCGGGAGGTCCCGGACACCGCAGGATTGTCCCATCCCACATCCATAAAAAGCAAATATCCCGGTCCTGGCTGAATCCTGGCTCTGTTTAGGATCAGCCAGGAAAAAATGGGAACACGGAGGACTCGGGAATCTGTCTTGGATTGGGATTAATCCCGTTCCCGGTGGTTGTTTCTTCCCGCAAACAGTGCTGGATCTACCTTCAGCTGCTTTGTGAAATTCCCAGTGGCTCCTAAAGCAAATTCCCTGGAAAAAAATTGGGCAGGAGGGGCTTCACTCATTTCCTGGTGCTGCTGGGCCTGGATTTCCCTTGGAGTGATTCCCAAAATTACGGATCCGAGCCTTTAATTCCTCTCCCTTTTTTAAGTTTCCCTCAAACCCGGAGCAGAGAAATTTCTCAGCAGAGAAATTTTTAATGGATTGTGGAGAATTGATGAAAAATGGTTTTTTTTTCCCCAGAGGTCTCCAGGCAGAGGGAATTCTGAGAGAGGAATATTTTCCTTGGAAATCCGGGATCAGCCACAGCTCCTGCCCTGCTTGGAGCAGGGTTTGAATTCCTGCCAGGGCTCGTTTTTCCTGGGATGACCTGGAGATGAGGGAGAATCCACAGAAACTGATCCCAAAAACCCTGGATCTGGCAATGGAAGCCAAGCTGTGCTTCCAGGAGTTTTTCCCGTTGGATCCCTGGATGAGGTGAGATCCCAATCCTGGGGTGTTAATCCAGACCTAAACAGGTCTAGACCAGACTTCAGGTTCTGCCTGGGGGCTGGAGATGCCCTTGGAACATTCCAGGCTTTCCAGGGCACAAATCCCCAAATTCCTGCCAATTTCAGTCCTTGGGAAAGCCCAAAAGACACCCAAAATATCAGGATGTGGTGTCCAGCTGGATCCATGCACACATCCATGCCCATCCCACCCATGGAACTGGCCCAAGGGAGATGTCCAGGAGCTCCTGGGAATCATCTGGGAATGGGAAAGGAAGAAAACTCTGGAACTTCCTGGTGCTTCCCAGTGGGGCCCCTTCGGGAAATGGGAGTTTGGAGGAATTCGGAGGAGTTTGGAGGAATTTGGAGGAATTTGGAGGAATTTGGAAGAATTTGGAAGAATTTGGAGGGCCCAGCCTTACCTGCGGAGCTCCGGCAGCGCCGCTCGCATTCCCGCCGGGATGGGAAGCGGTTGCTGTTCCCTCGGCAGCCCCCGAACAGGAAGGGCCGGCAGGAGTTTGTGGGGCCGTGGAAATACCAGAGCAGGGAATGGCGGTGGCAGGAGCCCTCATCCATGGGCTGCAGGCACGGGGCTGTGGGAAAACATCGACATTCCCCAGGGATCGGATCCGGATGGGAAAACATCCCAAAATTCCCCAGGGATTGGATCTGGATGGGAAAACACCAACATTCCCCAGGGATCGGACCTGGATGGGAAAACACCCCCAAATTCCCCAGGGATCGGATCTGGATGGGAAAACACCGACATTCCCCAGGAATTGGATCTGGATGGGAAAACACCGACATTCCCCAAGGATTTGATCCAGATGGGAAAACACCTCACATTCCCCATGGAATTCTTGGTGGGAATAGAATTCCCCATGGAATTTCTTGGTGGGAAAACAGCCCACATTCTTCAGGGATTGGATCCACTCTGGAAAACACCCCACAGCCATCCAGGGGTCGGATCCAGGTGGGAAAAGGGCACACTTTGGAAAACATCCTCATAACCATCCATGGATTGGATTTGCTCTGGAAAAATCCCACACCCAGCCAGGGGTTGGATCCCATACTGGACAAAGGAGGGAATCCGAGTGGATTCCCAGAGTGGATAAAAGAGGGAATCCAGCAGGGAATTCCCAGAGTGGGATGAGCTCCTTGTTGCTCCATCATCCACCCCGGTGATTCCCACCATGGCTGCCCCTCACCTATCCGAAGGGATTATCCCACCTGGATTCCGGGTGGGATATTTCCACAAGAATGTTTGCATACAGGGAATTCCAGGAGGATTCTCCCACTTTTCTGGATCCAAACCCCCTCCAGTTCCTTCACCACCAGCTCAACGCCCCTGGGGGTGCTTTAAGCCAAGCCCAAACTGAGGTTTAACCTCGTCTAACTCCTTTGGTGCCACATCCCTTGATCCCAAGGCCGAGCAGCCCTTCCCACCTGGGAAGTGACTTCCCTAAATGCCACTTAATTCCCTGATTTTCACCTGGTAATTGGCTGTCGCCTTCTGGCTGCGAGTTTCCCGTTGTCTGCTGCGCCCGGGCTGGGGAGGGGGGAAAAAAAACCCAAGGAAATCACACAGAACGAAGGGCGCGCAAACAAATTATCCCTCATTTAAATAAAGATCCTCGGAGCCTTCCGTGCCTAACGAGCTCTCCCGATAAATGTCACGGAGCAACCGGCCACGGGGAGCTGGGAACCGGCGGCAATAAAACCCTTAATGGTGTTAAACAACTCCGTGGGAAAGGCCGGGCGTTCGTCAGAGAAAATGGAAGCGTTTGCGGTTGTTTGCCGGAGATAAATGTCAGGCTGGAGTTCGGGAGCCTTGGAAAAGCCGGGAGCGATTGGAATCTGGCGGCAATAACGCTCCAGCTGCAGAATCCTGTTAACATTTGGAGCCGCTCGGCGCTCGTCACTTAGCAGAGGGATTTATGAGCCCTCCTGCCTCAGCCCCGGTTTTTAATGGGATTGTTGGCTGCTGCCGTGATTCAATAACACCTGGAATGTCCCATCCGTCTGATCCCGAGTGCTGCCGTGGTATAAATCCAGTTTAGATCCGGATGGGAGACTCTGACGTCCGGCACAGACGTCGGGAGTGGGGTGGGAGGGGAGTGGGGATTGTTGGGCTTTGGTTTTAGGCTTGGCTGGATTTTTTGGGATGTGTTCATTCCTTACATGGGGCCATCATCAATGGGTTTGACTTTAAACCCTTCCCAAAGCTCTTAAAGCTCTTCCCAAAGCTCTCCAGCCTGGGGAATCGTGGAATATGAGCTTGGAATGGACGGTCCTTAAGGCCCCTTCCAACCCAAACAGTTCCGTGTCTCAAGTTGGAAAGGGAGCTGTAAAAACCCTGGAGTCCAAATTTCTGCTGTAGTCCTGGGCTTGGAATCAGATGATTTTTAAGGTCCCTTCCATCCCAAACCATTCCATGTCCCAAATTGGAAAGGATCAACAAAGACCATTGAATCCAACCTTCTGTTGGAATCCCTGGATGGGACAAATCCTGTTGGAATCGGATGATTTTTAAGGTCCCTTCTATCCCAAACCATTCCATGTCCCAGATTGGAAGTGTCTGTAAAAACCCTGGAATCCAAATCTCTGTTGGACTCCCTGCCTTGGAGTTGGATGATTTTTAAGGCCTTTTCCATCCCAAACCATTCCATGTCCCAAGCTGGAAGGTTTGGAAGGATCACGGAGTCCAACTCCCTCTTAGACTGGAATTTGGAGCATTGAGCCCTCCCCTAGAGGAAATTTTTGGGGTGACAAAGAGGATTTAATGACAATATTTGATCAAGTTTAATTAAACCCTGAACCCCCCAGGCTGGAAAACCATTCCACTGCTCCATCCCCCTAATTTGGAGGAAATTCCCAAAGAACATCACGCTTGCATCCCATAATAATCCCATACCTGTAAACTGTAGGACAACCCCACAACTGATTTTGGGGTGTAAAGGTGACAACACTGGGGTGTCCTGCTTGGTGCAATGGGATTTTTAATTTATTTAATTTTATTTTAATTTTATTTTAATTTATTTTTAATTTATTTAATTAATTTATTTTAATTTAATTTTAATTTAATTTATTTAATTTATATCCCTGGCTGTGCCATCCATGGTACCCAACCCTCCTCTCCCTCCTCCTGGCGACAAAATCCAAGCATCCTCATTTGTGGAACAACAAGAAACGATCCCAAACTCTCCCTCCTTTTTAATCCTGTCCTGAAGTTTGGATTTTGAGCTCCAAGTGGAGGAATCCTGCCACAAATGACTCCAGAATCCCTCAATTTCCCCCTCTCCCGTTTTCCCTCTCTCCCACAAATCCAGAGGGAAATCCAAGCCCCGATGAGGAGATCGGGAGGTCCATGGGTGGCTCTTGACCTGCTGGAGGAGCAGATCTGGGTCTCCCAGAGCTTTTCCCTCTTGGAAAACACAAACAGGAGCAGATCCAGTTGTTTTTCCATGAGTTTGAAGCTGTGGTTTTACCCTTTATTAAAATGTTCACGAGGCCCTGGACAGAAATAGTGTGGGATGAGTGTTTGGTCTCAGAGATGCCATTTCTGCCCGCCTGGAACTTTTACTGGAACTTGCCAAAGGATGTGCCAGGAAAAATGGGACAAAACCAGCCTGGAAACAGCTGCGTCCCCTCAGCCTTTTAAAAAAACCCTTTGGAATGTTGGGATCACCACCAATCCCACAAATATTTAGGTTTTCCTCACCTTCCAGGGTGAGGTTATCTCCCAGAGACCTCACTGGGAATCCCATCTCTGCCTCATTCCCGCCCAATTCCAGGGAAAAGGATTTATCACGAGGCTCATGGAATGCTCCAGAGGATTCCGTGGCTGGAAGGATGGGAAGGAGGGAGCTGAACTCACCTGCAAGGAGTGGAGGTGGCTCCACGAAGGGCTTCACCGCAGTCTCCAACGTGGTCTGTCTGGGAGTTGTGCCAAGCTTTTCTTCCCAATTTCCACCATTGCTGGCGTATTCCCGAGGCTGGGAATACTCTTGGAGCTGCCTGTGGACTTCAGCTGCATCCAGACCTGTGGATTGAGGGTCACTGAGGATGAATCCGATGCTCTGGGGTGGACAGATCAGCTCTCCAGGCTCCGTGGACCATTGGATTTGAGGATTCCAAGAGTCCTGGAGCTCATCCTGGGGATGGTTTGGGATGGTGGAGCGATCCCGGAATTTTGTGGGCAGGGATTGGGATTTCTGCGGGTTCAGCTTTAAAATCTGGGAGTCAGGAAGGGATTTGATCATGTCCTGGAGGGGAGGGTGAAAACAGGAGACTTCCAGGTGTCCCTCTGATCCCTCAGATTCAGGAAGACCCATCCCCCTCCAACCAGGATCCAAAAGCTGTTGGTGATCCAACATTTTCTGCACTGAATCCCAGAAAAAAAAAAAGCATTTTTTCCTAAAAACAACTTTTCACTTCCAGTTTCAGGCTGGTTTGGGGCAAGAAGATCCTTTCCTACAGGAATTCCCATCCTTACCCTTTTCCATGGACATCCTTCCCAACTCACCTCCACAACCTGCAGGCAGAAGAGACAAGGGAAAGCTTTGCTTTTAATACATTTTTTTCCCAACATAAATAAGATTTTTCAAGGAAATCATTATTTTTATGGATTTTTATTATTTTTCATCCTTTTTTCCCTCCCCTTTTCAAGGATCCTGATGCTTCCTAAAAACTCCAGTGGGGATGAACCTAAAAATCTTCCATATCTGTAGGGAAAGCTCAGGGAATAGGGCAGGAAGGTTCTGCTGGATCTGAAATAAAGGGATTTCTGCAGGGCAAAGAAAGAAAAGCCCAGAAAGTTTTAATGTTTGGATTCTGGGATAAAACCACTCCCAAATTTTTTTCTTTTTTTCTTTTTTGTTTGGTTTGTTTTTTTTTGGTTTGTTTCAGTTTTTGGGTTTTTTGGTTTTTTTTTTTATTTGTTTGGGTTTTTTCCTGTGGTGCTGCTGGCAGTTATTCCCTGTGGGAGAGGAGAATTCCGTGTGCCAAGGAAGACCACAAAAAACCAGGAATTAAAAGGTTCAGTGAGCCCCAAGCTTCCATCCATGAGCCAGCGCCTTCCCGATCCACCAGGAAAAGGGGGAAGGATTTCCTGACAAAACCAAATGGGAATGGGAATGGGGTTGGGGGGGTTTAAGGGATAAAAATGGAGAGTTTCAGGAGGTCAGGAATCTGCAGGGCCTGGAATTCCACACTCCTGGAGAGGGGCCCCAGCTCCACCTGCTGCTAATGGGTGACATTTGGATGCGTGCTGGCACGGAAAATTTATCCAATTTATCCGCTGGCAGGGTCACCGCGGGGCCAACTCACCACAAATCCCTCTTATTTCACTCCTGAGCACTTCCTTCACCTCTTCCTCCTGTGCCAGAGCGGGAAAACGGAATTTAGGGATGAATTCCAACCCCGGCACCATCTCCCTGCTTGTCCCACCAAGGTGGAGCCACCTCGTTTGGGGCGTAATCAGAGCAGAGATTTGGTGTCACGGGGAGCTCGGTTCAAGATTTGTGGCTCATTCCCTCTGGAAATTCCTGGTTTTCCTGCAGCCAGGAAAACCTCCAGGTGCGAGGAGTGGGACCTCAATCCATGTCACACCTCCAACCTGGGCTGGCTTTCCAAGGAATGTCCCCACCCTCCTGGCACTGTCCCCAAAGCCACGACCTCCCGAACTTCCCTGAGCTCTGAAAAGCCATGGAGCCACCCACATCCGAGTTTTCCTCCAGGATTGCCCTTGGGAGCGAGCTGTGGAACCACATTCCATTATTTGGAGCTGCGCCTCCTCCTGCTTTCTCTGCTTCCTTCCCAGCCAACATCATTCCCTATGGAATCTCCAATCTCATGGATCTGGAGCCCGTCCTCCATCCCTGGGACAGCCAACAGCCACTGATCCCATTGGGAATCTTCCCTGTGGGATGGTGGATGCCCTGCTGGACTTCCTGGGGTCACCACCTCTTTTCCTTCTTGGGATTCCAAATCTGGGGGCATTTTCCATGTAGGGAGCTGGAATTTTCAGCAGCCCGAATTTAGGACATCCTTTCCCACCATCCCCCTGTTAAAATTAATCCTGCTTGGAAAATTAATCCACACCCTGGAAAAATGGAAATATTGCCTTTGTGTCAGTCAAGTGGCACAAAATCCAGGATGAAGGGATGTGGAGGGAGCTGCAACAGGAATTTTTTCCTGATCCGTGTGAGTCAACCCCTCCTTCCTCAGGATTGAGAAGCCCAGGGCAGCAGCTTTTCCCTCAAGGCTTTGAAAATGGGGCACATTTCCCTCTCCTGCTTTTCCTTCGGGTTGGATCAGCTCTGGAGCGCCGATCCTGTCGGACAAGTGGGAGTTGGGAGTCATGGGAAAGACAGGGAAAACCTGCTTGGGCCTTTAGGCCTGGCTTTGGAGAGCCCAGCTCTGCTCCCACCCTGCTCTAACACCAACAGCCTCATTTCCCAGATATTCTCGGAGCAAATCCGTTTCTCAGCATTTCCCTCCTCCCCTTGGCCTCCCAGGGCCGGTTTGGCCGATTTTCTCCATTTCTCCTGGTAATGGGAAGTGATCTCAGGAGAAAGCACTCACGGAAAGGCCCGGATCTCCCTTGGCTCCTTTCTGCCCGGCCGGACCATTTTCCCCCTGTTAAAAACACTTTGATCATTACCAAATCTCAGGAGATTGTCCATGAAATGCTCTGGGAATAAACGCTCCACAGGGATGATAACTCAGAAGGGTAAAAAGCCTCACGTGTTTTCCTATAAATTTTAGGGATATCTGAGAGGAGCTCAGCGGGCAGACAGGAATGGCCTCATCCATGTGTCCATCAGATCCCAGATTTTTTTGGGAGCTCTGCTCCATCCCAGTGTGGATTTTAACACTTTAAGTCAGGTTTATTTTCCAGTTGGAAGAGGTGGATACATGGAGAGGGTCTGGCCTGCACAGAATCTTTGGGAATCAGCTCAAGAAGAAGAAGATTTGAAACTGGAGCTGCAATTCCAGTGCTGGAAAGATGGAAAAACCAGGAGCTGTTGAGCTTTGTCAACAAGGGATAAAAACACACTGACAAATTTTCCACTCAGAACTGCTGGAAACTGGATTTGTGGATTAAGGGTACTTAAAAATATTAAAGGACAAGGAGCACAAGAAGGATGATCCCAATTAAAGCTGGGAGGATCATTTTTCTCAATCCACGCTCGCTTCCAGTGCCAGGAAAAATCACATTATCCACCAGCAGCACATAGAATTAAAGCACTGCCATTCCTGATCCTGAAATCCCTTGGGACACTGGGATTTGCAGGGTGGAGGGACTGACCCAAACAGGTTGGGATCAGGATCCGAAGCTCCTGTTGGGAATTCTCTGCTGAGTGTTAATTGCGCGTTAATTGACCTGCTTTGATTATCGGTCTGTGCCTGCTCTGATCCAAAGTTTGATGTTTTCCCAAAGGAATCTTCCCCCACCTGGAGACACCTCCAGGCAGAAATCTGGGCAGAAAATTCCTGGGATTTGGGATTCCAACCTCTCCGCTCTTGCTGTAAAATCCGGAGAGCTGAGAAATGAAACGTGGAAGATCCAAGGTTCATCCAACCCCAGTTTGGAATTTTGGGAAGTGCTGAGGAATCCCACTGGATCATTCCCATACTGACCGCTTCTCCTTTCAGCCCATCCACGCCCGGGGGCCCCTGGAGGCAGAGCTGGGATCTCCCTCTTTTCCCTGGTGGGCCCTGGAGAGGAAAAGGAGAGTTTGGTCAGCACTTCCAGAGATATCCCACATTTCTTTGGGATTTTCCCCCTAAAACCCAACCTGGGCATCAGTGGAAGATACTCCGAACTCCTCAGGTGCTCTCCGGATGGGATGGAATCAGTGCTCTGGAATTTTTCCCTCTGTCCCAACCCCACGAGCCATTCCTGGAGTTTCTCCTTTAATTCCAGGAGAATCCAAGGAACAGCGTGGGTGGAAAAAGTGGCACCTCACAGCCTCTCTTTAATCAGTGTCCAAAACAAAAAAGCCATTTATTATCCCAGACAGGCTTTTCTGGGCTCGCTAATAACATCAAAAATTCCAGCCTTTTTAAATATCCATGAGGGAATCTTGTACTTTCGGCTCCTTCCTCCCTCCTGTGATTCCTTTGATTTATTTTTCATGGTAAGGCACAGCCTGGGGAGCAAGAGAAGGAAGAATAATTTTGTTTCCATGGGCTGGAGCGGGATTTAATCCATATCTTATTGTTCTGGAAGGACCTTTTCCCACCTTCTTCCTATAACCACCCTTCAAAATTCCTTTTAAAGATCCCTGTCACACTTTCAGCATCTTTATTCAGTGACTTCAAGCTCTTATTTTTAAGGAAGATGCTGATTTCCAGACGTATTTTCCAGGTAAAATTCAGCTTCCTTAAGGCAAATTTGCAGGGAGAAAATCCAAGTCTCTTCGGAGGAGAAAAAAAAAGAAATATTTGGGAGTTGTTTTAAAGTTGATTTTGTGATAAAGGAATTGATAAAGGAGATCTGGTGCCCTCCACTCCAATAAAAAAAAATTATTGGGAATTGCTGGATGTGGATTGAGTTCCTTGTTCATCCTTTCTGCTCTGCATCCCTCTGTTCTTGCCTTAAATCCCATTTTTTTCCCTGTGAATTTCATGGGATCACACATTTTTTTGTCTTTCCAAAGAGCAGCCTCATATTCTGATCAACATCTCCCTTTCCTGATATTGATAGTGTAGTTTTTATTTACTTAATTTTTTAATTTTTAATTTACTTACTTAATTAAAACATTTTTTTTCATGTGGAATTTGCCCAAATCCCGTCAATGTTTGATCCTGACGGAGCTGATGTGGTGCAAAAGTTGTCAATGGATTTTGGCTTGGGAAAAAAGTAGGAAAATTCTGGAATGAGGTGGAATAGAGATTTTTTTTTTTTTTTAGTGACCCATCCATGTCAGAATTCCTGAAAAAATCTGTAGGATAAGGAGACCTTGGAGATCCAGGAGAGTGGATCTGATGAGATCCAGACTCACTCGGATTTTCCCAGGAAATTGGGAATTTTTCCAACTTCCAATCTCCAAAATCCAAATTATTGCCATTGTTGTCAGGAACCAACAGAATTTATGGATAAAATTTGCTTTTTCAGGTTATTTCATTCCAATTTTTCTTTTATTCTTGGATCTTCCAGGTAATTTTTATATTCTTTAATCCAATCCTGAAACTCCCAGCAAAACCACTCTGGGAATTTTCATTTCCAGCCTTTTTTTCACTTTGGAAAGTTCTTTATTTCTCGAAGCTGTCTCAAGAAAACTTCCAGGGCAGGGTGATCCTGCTCATCGATGGAATTAACATCTCATTTCCCTGGATTTTTCCCCTACGTTTCTAAAGGTGCCCAGCGTGGCTGGAATGCAAAAATATTCATTAAAAAACGGGAGCCGAGAGCCACCGGCTCCTTCCCAGGCCTTGGCATCCTGATCCCGGGATAATTAACGACTTGATGTCCTGATCGCTTGGAATTATCTCTCCGTGGAGAGGTCAGATCTTCCCCTGAGGAGACGGGAAAGGAGGGGAGGAAAGGGGATGGAAAATCTCTGGAGAAAAATGAATCGGGAGATGAAATTCGTGGATCAAGATCCCGCAGAAAGAGGGAACGTGGGAGAGCTCGGGAGGCAGCTCAGGAGAGGTGGGAGATGGGGACAGGGGGACACTTCAGGGGGGTTGGGTCACACGAGGGTGGCCAGGTGTGGATCCCTGTGGGATTTGGGATCGTGGGATTCTTGTGGGATTCAGGACCTGTGGGATTCCTGTGGGATTCAGGACCTGTGAGATTCAGGACCTGCTGGGATTCCTGTGGGATTCAGGATCTGTGGATTCAGGATCTGTGGGATTCAGGACCTGCTGGGATTCAGGATCTGTGGGATTCAGGACCTGCTGGAATTCAGGACCTGCTGGGATTCAGGACCTGCGTGGATTCCTGTGGGATTCAGGATCTGTGGGATTCCTGTGGGATTCAGGACCTGCTGGGATTCAGGACCTGTGGGATTCAGGACCTGCTGGGATTCCTGTGGGATTCAGGATCCATGGGATTCAGGACCTGTGGGAATTCCTGTGGGATTCAGGACCCACTGCTCACCTGTGGGCCTGGCTCGCCCTGCGGCCCTCGAGGTCCAGCTGCTCCGGCCCCTCCAGGCTTCCCAGGCCATCCCGTTTGTCCTTTGAATCCTCCCAGTCCAGGAACTCCCTTGGCCCCCTGGGAATCACAGGGGGATTTTAGGGATGGGGCAGCCAAACATCATCCAAACACTTCCATGGCATTGGGAATACGGGAACACCTTCCACATTCCACATTCCTTTGGTGTGGGAGCCCTGCTCTCCACATTTCCCTCTCCAGAAGGTGCTTGGTGACATGGATTTTCCATCCAGCTCTTCCCAAGAATTCCTAAATTCCCAGCTCTCCACCTGAACAGAATCCTTTCATTTATAACCCTGGGAGAAACGAGGGAAGAGGAAGATCCCAAACCTATAAACTTCCCACTCATCTTCACCACTGAGCTTTCTCCCAGAGCTGCCGGAACAAAATATTCCCACGAAACCCAGCAGAAGGAAAAATCCATCACCCAGCAGTGGTGGAAAACAAATTTCTGGGAGAGGAGAAGACCAGGAGCAGAAGGGAATGAGAATTCCCTGGGAATGATCTCCAAGCCTCCATCCCGAGACTTCAGGAGGTGTTCGGCCATTGGGGAATGCAGAACAGATTTCATATCCATGAAATCCTTTAGGATCCCAAATCCGCTGGAGACTGGGAAGGGCCTGAGGGGCTGGAAAATGCCAAGAGATTTGATGGAGGCTGTTGAGGTTGTGTTTGGTTTTTGGTTTTTTCCTTAGAAATCTATGGTTTTAACAGAAATCATTGATTTTTTTTTTCTCTCTGTGGAAAAGTACAAGTTCAGGTGTGGGTTTTTTTTAAGGAATAAAGCAGGAAATTAAGGAATTCTGAGAAGGAAGATTGGTGGGGAGTGATCCAGGTGGGAATTCCTCAGGGAGATGAGAGCAGAACTCGGGATCAGCTTGGAGACCTTTCCCATTTCCCACGCCAAGGTGGCCACAGCCCAATCCTCTTTTCCTACCCCAGAGCATTCCCAGGGATTTGCCCTGGGAATGGTGATGGAATAACTCTGACAATGCATCCCAGCCCCTCTGGATGGCTTTTCCTCACACTAAACTGGGATAAAATCCTCCTGGGATTTTATCCACGGACAGAGGTGAATTTAAGGAAACCTCTCTCCCCTGCCCTTTTCCAACTGCATTCCCAACCCTAACATTCCAACCAGTTGACATTTCCCCTCTGGAAAGGGCACCAACAATGAGGAAAATGTTGAATTTTGTTAACTCCTGATGGATGTGGGATTTCTTCCTTGGGAATGGAATAAATCTGTGGCCAGTACCAACCTTTTCTCCTTTCTCCCCAGGAATTCCCGAGGTGCCATCGTTCCCTGAGGCTCCTGGTTCGCCCTGGAAGGAGACAAGGTAAAATCATGCCTAACGTGGGCTTGGAAAGGCTGGGATTTTGGGAATAAACTGGTTTTTCCTTGGATTAGGGTTATTTACTGAGTGTCATCTCGGTCTGGGCACTGTGAGTATTCCAGGAGAGGGAAAATTCCCATGGAAAAGAGCCTGTGGAGCATCAGGATTGGATGGATGAGGTCAGTTGAGGAGGTGAGTAAATATCCCAATCCCAATATCCAAGAATCTTCACCCAATCCATGCTGATTTATGGGAAGAGATCCAGGAAAACCCTATTTATGCCCTTTGGCATTTTCCAGAGGTGGATTTGGGAAAACTTCTGGGGAAACTCTTGTGGGATGATTTTTAACCGTTCCCAAACCATTCCACGATTCTGTGACGACTCAAATCCTCACCTTTGGTCCACGTTGTCCATCCAATCCTGGAATTCCCGGTTTTCCAGGACTGCCGATTTCTCCCTGTGGATGGAAAAGCAGTGGAAGGGCTGTGAGGACAAAGAACCCCAAAGAAACGGGAAAACTCTGGAAAAGCAAGGAGAGGGATAATCCAGGGATGCCACTCGGAGATAAAGCACAAATTTAACTCACAACAAAGATAATTGGAAATCCTTAAAATTGGAGATTATCCCAACTCCAGGCTCGCCTCGAGGAAAGTACGGTGGGAAATTCCCTGGACAAAAATTCAGTTACCAAATGCAGATACCAAATATTAACAGCAATAATAATAATCCAAATAATATTAATTAAAATTGATTATGACCACAATAACAACGACATTGCCTCTGTCACCAACAGCTCCCATTTCCCTCATCAAGCTTTCCAAACCTTCCATAAAAAGCCCATCAAGGCTCATTATCGTTGTTTACTGATAAGGGACTAATGGTGCTGATAAGATCCCGGCACCAATTTAGAACTGAGCCCAGGCCGTTGCTAAGGCACGGATCAGGAGGGATTTGGGCAGGGTTTGGTTTAGTTTTTAACCCCAATTATCCCAAAGTTCCCGACAAGACTTGAAACTTCCCAGTCTGAGATTCCCTGCTCTTCATGGGCCTTCCAAGAGGGATTTTCCAACAGGAATGGGGTAGATTCCTCAGGATTCCATGCCATCAATCAGGAGGGATCTGGGCAGGGTTTGGTTTAGTTTTTAACCACAGATTAACCTCAAATTCCCGACAAGTCTTAAAACTTCCCAATCCATGATTCCCTGCTCTTCATGGGGCCTTCCAAGAGGGATTTTCCCACAGAAATGGGGTGGATTCCTCAGGATTCCATGTCATCAATCAGGAGGGATCTGGGCAGGGTTTGGTTTAGTTTTTAACCACAGATTAACCCAAAATTCCCTGTAAACATTAAAACTTCCCAGTTCGTGATTCCCTGCTCTTCATGGGGCCTTCCAAGAGGGATTTTCCAACAGAAATGGGGTGGATTCCTCAGGATTCCATGCCATAGATCAAGAAGGATCTGGACAGGGCTTAGTTTAATCCCAGATTATCCCAAAATTCCTGACAAGCCTTAAAACTTCCCAGTCCGTGATTCCCTGCTCTTCATGGGGCCTTCCAAGAGGGATTTTTCCACAGAAATGGGGTGGATTCCTCAGGATTCCATGCAGGAAGCTTTCCTGGGAATGAGTGGGAAGGAGTTCTGAGGATGGGGCGGCTGGAGGGTGGAAAGCCGGGCTTGGCTCACCTTGGCACCTTTGGCTCCGGGAGTGCCGATCCGGCCTGGAAGCCCTCTCAAGCCCTGGGAAGAAAGGAGATCACAGGGAATGAGGGAAGAGGAGGAATTCTGAGGGTGCTGGAAGCTCCTTCCCCATCTCTGCTTGTCCCAACCTTTATTTCCCAGGATCACGGAGTGGTTGGGGTTGGAAAGAGCTCTGGAGAACGTTTCTCCAGCTCCCAATCCAAGCAGTGCCACCCAAAGCTGTTCCCCCACATTCCCAGGGATTTGGGGCATTTCCAAGGATGGAGATTTCCCGGGATCTCATCCATGTCCTACCTTTGTCCCTTTCTGCCCGGTGTCACCGGTGGTCCCAGGGTCACCTTTCCCTCCCTACATGGAAAAAAAGGAAGGAGATGAATTTTCAGGAATAACAGCCCAAAATCCCATCCATGTGCCAGAAGGTTTCTTGGGAGCCTCCCTGTTGTGAGGGAGCTGATCCCAGGAGAGTGGGATCCAGGAGGGATTTAGTGAAGGATTCCTTGGTTTCCTGCTCTCCAGCAGGCAGAGAGGGACTTGGGATGTGAAGGAAATTGAAATTTGGGCTTCGGTCAGAAACAGAGGGAAACTGAGGCAGGGAAACATGGGATAAGAAATTTTGGGATATGGGAACCGGAGGAGGACAAGTCCCAAAAACCAGGCCAGGATGTGCCTTGGAGACTTTTCCAGAATTTAGGAAAGGCTTCTGAGGAAGATTGTGAGAAAGGCCCTGAGGCCTTTAGGGGGAAGGGAAAGGAATGTGGGATCCAGGAATGTCCAGACAGGAATGTGGGATCCAGGAAAGCACAGACAGGAATGTGGGATCCAGGAAGGTCCAGACAAGAATGTGGGATCCAGGAAGGTCCAGACAGGAATGTGGGATCCAGGAAGGAACAGAAAGGATTGTGGGATCCATTAAAGCACAGACAGGAATCTGGAATCCAGGAAAGCAGTTAGGAATGTGGGATCCAGGAGGGAGCAGAAAGGAATGTGGGATCCAGGAAGGTCCAGAGAGGAATGTGGGATCCAGGAGGGAGCAGAGACAGGAATGTGGGATCCAGGAAAGCAGAGACAGGAATGTGGGATCCAGGAAAGCACAGAAAGGAATCTGGAATCCAGGAAAGCAGATAGGAATGTGGGATCCAGGAAGGAGCAGAGACATTTCCAAACCATCCGTGTCCTTTCCTGCCGCTCACCGGCTTCCCCTTCTGTCCCTGAAGGCCTCTGTCTCCTTTGGCTCCCTTGATCCCGTTCTTCCCATCCAGTCCTGCCGCACCCTGCCAGAAAATTGGGAAAAATCCATTCCAGCGCTCGTTTTTTTTTTCAGGAGAAGGGGGATGAGGACAATCCAGTATGGAAANCCATCCGATCCTGGAATTCCCGGTTTTCCAGGACTGCCAATTTCTCCCTGTGGATGGAAAAGCAGTGGAAGGGCTGTGAGGACAAAGAACCCCAAAGAACCGGGAAAACTCTGGAAAAGCAAGGAGAGGGATAATCCAGGGATGCCACTCGGAGATAAAGTCTCACCTCAGCCTGGAAATTTCAGATCACTAAAATTTAACCAACAACGAAGGAGGCAAATTAACTAATTAACGCAAATTTAACTTGCAACAAAGATAATTGGAAATCCTTAAAATTGGAGATTATCCCAACTCCAGGCTCACCTTGAGGAAAGTACGGTGGGAAATTCCCTGGACAAAAATTCAGTTACCAAATTCAGATACCAAATATTAACAGCAATAATAATAATCCAAATAATATTAATTAAAATTGATTATGACCACAATAACAACGACTCTGTCACCAACAGCTCCCATTTCCCTCATCAAGCTTTCCAAACCTTCCATAAAAAGCCCATCAAGGCTCATTAGGGTTGTTTACTGATAAGGGACTAATGGTGCTGATAAGATCCGGGCACCAATTTAGAACTGAGCCCAGGCCGTTGCTAAGGCACGGATCAGGAGGGATTTGGGCAGGGTTTGGTTTAGTTTTTAACCCCAATTATCCCAAAGTTCCCGACAAGCCTTGAAACTTCCCAGTCTGAGATTCCCTGCTCTTCATGGGCCTTCCAAGAGGGATTTTCCAACAGGAATGGGGTAGATTCCTCAGGATTCCATGCCATCAATCAGGAGGGATCTGGGCAGGGTTTGGTTTAGTTTTTAACCACAGATTAACCTCAAATTCCCGACAAGTCTTAAAACTTCCCAATCCATGATTCCCTGCTCTTCATGGGGCCTTCCAAGAGGGATTTTCCCACAGAAATGGGGTGGATTCCTCAGGATTCCATGTCATCAATCAGGAGGGATCTGGGCAGGGTTTGGTTTAGTTTTTAACCACAGATTAACCCAAAATTCCCTGTAAACATTAAAACTTCCCAGTTCGTGATTCCCTGCTCTTCATGGGGCCTTCCAAGAGGGATTTTCCAACAGAAATGGGGTGGATTCCTCAGGATTCCATGCCATAGATCAAGAAGGATCTGGACAGGGCTTAGTTTAATCCCAGATTATCCCAAAATTCCTGACAAGCCTTAAAACTTCCCAGTCCGTGATTCCCTGCTCTTCATGGGGCCTTCCAAGAGGGATTTTCACACAGAAATGGGGTGGATTCCTCAGGATTCCATGCAGGAAGCTTTCCTGGGAATGAGTGGGAAGGAGTTCTGAGGATGGGGCAGCTGGAGGGTGGAAAGCCGGGCTTGGCTCACCTTGGCACCTTTGGCTCCGGGAGCGCCGATCCGGCCTGGAAGCCCTCTCAAGCCCTGGGAAGAAAGGAGATCACAGGGAATGAGGGAAGAGGAGGAATTCTGAGGGTGCTGGAAGCTCCTTCCCCATCTCTGCTTGTCCCAACCTTTATTTCCCAGGATCACGGAGTGGTTGGGGTTGGAAAGAGCTCTGGAGAACGTTTCTCCAGCTCCCAATCCAAGCAGTGCCACCCAAAGCTGTTCCCCCACATTCCCAGGGATTTGGGGCATTTCCAAGGATGGAGATTTCCCGGGATCTCATCCATATCCTACCTTTGTCCCTTTCTGCCCGGTGTCACCGGTGGTCCCAGGGTCACCTTTCCCTCCCTACATGGAAAAAAAGGAAGGAGATGAATTTTCAGGAATAACAGCCCAAAATCCCATCCATGTGCCAGAAGGTTTCTTGGGAGCCTCCCTGTTGTGAGGGAGCTGATCCCAGGAGAGTGGGATCCAGGAGGGATTTAGTGAAGGATTCCTTGGTTTCCTGCTCTCCAGCAGGCAGAGAGGGACTTGGGATGTGAAGGAAATTGAAATTTGGGCTTCGGTCAGAAACAGAGGGAAACTGAGGCAGGGAAACATGGGATAAGGAAGAAATTTTGGGATATGTGAACTGGAGGAGGACAAGTCCCAAAAACCAGGCCAGGATGTGCCTTGGAGACTTTTCCAGAATTTGGGAAAGGCTTCCGAGGAAGATTGTGAGAAAGGCCCTGAGGCCTTTAGGGGGAAGGGAAAGGAATGTGGGATCCAGGAATGTCCAGACAGGAATGTGGGATCCAGGAAAGCACAGACAGGAATGTGGGATCCAGGAAAGCACAGATAGGAAAGTGGGATCCAGAAAAGAACAGAAAGGAATGTGGGATCCAGGAATGTCCAGACAAGAATGTGGGATCCAGGAAAGCACAGACAGGAATGTGGGATCCAGGAAGGTCCAGACAAGAATGTGGGATCCAGGAAAGCACAGACAAGAATGTGGGATCCAGGAGGGTCCAGACAGAAATGTGGGATCCAGGAAGGAACAGAAAGGATTGTGGGATCCATTAAAGCACAGACAGGAATCTGGAATCCAGGAAAGCAGGGAAGGAACAGAAAGGATTGTGGGATCCATTAAAGCACAGACAGGAATCTGGAATCCAGGAAAGCAGTTAGGAATGTGGGATCCAGGAGGGAGCAGAAAGGAATGTGGGATCCAGGAAGGTCCAGAGAGGAATGTGGGATCCAGGAGGGAGCAGAGACAGGAATGTGGGATCCAGGAAAGCAGAGACAGGAATGTGGAATCCAGGAAAGCACAGAAAGGAATCTGGAATCCAGGAAAGCAGATAGGAATGTGGGATCCAGGAAGGAGCAGAGACATTTCCAAACCATCCGTGTCCTTTCCTGCCGCTCACCGGCTTCCCCTTCTGTCCCTGAAGGCCTCTCTGTCTCCTTTGGCTCCCTTGATCCCGTTCTTCCCATCCAGTCCTGCCGCACCCTGCCAGAAAATTGGGAAAAATCCATTCCAGCGCTCGTTTTTTTTTCAGGAGAAGGGGGATGAGGACAATCCAGCATGGAAACCCAACTGTGGGATCCCTCAATCCGAGGTCAGAAGCTCCCCCAGGAGCTGCCTCAAAACCTGAGGCTGGGATTTAGCTCCCATTCCTCACCCCAATTCCATGGGAATGGAAATCCTTGGCAAACAAAAACCTGGGAGGGGATGAATTTGTAATTCCAGCTCAGGAAAATACGGCAGCAAAAGGCTCATTCCAGAAGATTTGGATGGGGTTGGGAAGGGGAACAGGGATTTAAGGAATGTATGAGCCAGGTTTTTTATCCCATTTTGGAATTTTTTGGCTTCTGGAGCCACATCCAGCACTGAGATCTCTTTTCATGGAGTTTCCCATTGTTGTGGTAGCAAATAAAGCTGCTAAAAATCCTCATTTGCTTTTAATTTCTAAATTTCAATTCTTTTCCCCCAAGGTTGTCACAGTCTCTTCATCCACCCTGGCCAATTTTGATGGCATTTTCCAGCACTTGGATGTGAAGGAAAAATTTGATTTATTCCAACTTGAGCCCCTCAGCTCTCTCAGGGGAGAATGAATCGGCTGCTGGAGCAAATCAGGGGCTGAACAAGGGAAATTCTCTGCTTGGAATTCGTTTTCAGGGAAAATCCATGTTCCTCCATATTCCAGGTGCTGTCAGGCACAAATATCTCTTTATTGGTAACTATTTATTGACATGATCAATCTCAAATTCCATCTGGAGAGGTAAATAAACCATAAAACCCCAGGAAAACGGGAATATCTGTTTGCTGGGATAGATTGGAGGGTAATAAACCATTTGTGTGGTGGTTAAATCCCACAAATCCGGGATACCTTCAAGTGCCTGGAGCTCTGAAGGAGCTGGGAGCTGGGATCAGACCAGGGATGGGTCAAAAATCTTCTTTTTGTCCACTAAAAAACCTTAATTAAGACTTCTCCTAATTAGCATTAAAATCTTTCTTAATTATTTAATAGTATTTAATATATATTATTTAATACAAATTATTTATCATATTAATAATTAATTTATTAATATTAACAAATTATTTCAATATTATTTCATAGTTTTTCTCCATTATCCCAAATATCTCCAGGTTTTCCAGGTTTTTCTGTCCGTGTCCAAGTCGTCTTCCTGCTTTCCATGAGATCCTTCTCATCCTGAGAGGATCCCAAATGGTTTTAGGAAAAGTTTAACTCACTTAAGGATAGGCTGAATGAAAGCTGGGTCTAAGTCTGGCCTACATAGTCCAGGCAACATAAATAAGGTTTAGACTTGGGTTTTATCTCTCTGTAGGTGGTTTCCTGCTTATCCTGGGCTGGAAAGATTTTGGAATATGGATTGGAAGGTTTAAAATTATAAGGATGTGTTGGAAAGCTGGGTCTAAGTCTGGCCTACTTAGTCCAGGCAACATAAATAAGGTTTAGACCCGGGTTTTATCTTTCCATAAGTGGTTTCCTGCTTATCCTGGGCTGGAAAGATTTTGGAATATGGATTGGAAGGTTTAAAATCGGGATTGGACCTGAAGGAGAAGATGGTCACGGAAGTGATGCTTTCCCAGGAGAGGGAAAAGATGGGATAGGAGGAGTTAAAAGAGGGGGAAAAAAAAAGAAAAATAAGGGAAAAAAAGAGAAGAAAATGCAAAGAGGCCAAATGGAAATTTGTTCCCTCAGATTTGCATCCCGGTGTTGTGCCGGGGAAATCAAGGCTGGACAATAAATGGAAGTAAATGAAAATTTAAATGGCAATTTAGAGGCAATTACTGCGGGAATACTGGAAACGGCTCCGGCTCTTTGGATTTGGGGTTAAAACCTTGCTGGAATTTAACTGCGAACGCGCCGGCAGAGAGGCTGAGTCACCAAATCCTGTGACGCAGAGAAACCTTGGATCCTCCGCTTCCAGGCAAAAAATTCCCGCGGAGCTCCGGGCTGGAGCCAGGGAGGAGCCAGGGAGAAGCTGGGAATGAGCAGGGACACCCTGGGAAAAGCTGGAATCCATTGGGATGCTCCCCCGAAAGGATGGAGCCGTTTGAAGCCGCACATCAAAAGGAGGATGAATTCCCAAACTTATCCTAAAATGTTTTCCACCTCCCGGGCTCCTGCTCCTCAATATTTGATGGGATGATGCAAATGGAATCTTCACCTCGGAGCTCCAGCTGTGGTTTTATCCCTTCCCTGCCGAGTTTTGGTGGAATGAGTCTGGTCAGGATAATTTGCTGCAGTTTTGAGCTCCTTTTCCCCCCAAAAATTTGGTGTCTGGGGTGGGAATTGCCTGATTTAGTGGAAAATTCCCCTTGGAAGGGGGTTTGGAATGAGAGGATCTGGAAGGGAATGATCCAACCCTCAGCATTTTAGGATTCTGTGTGATCCCAGTTTTCCTGGGAAACTTAATATTTCTAATAAGCTCAAATTCCTGCTTATAAACCATTCCCACCCCTGCTCAGGGTCCGACGCTCCAGGGATTCAGAATCCCTGGAAAAACCAAAACAGGGAGCAAGAAATGGGGGGAAAACGTAATAAAAATCAGAGTTTTGGGGAGAATAATGGGTTAATCCGTTGTTACTCTGATGCACAATCTCAGGGAATAAAGAAGAGGAGCTGGAAGTTTGGATCCATGATCCAAACAAGGAGTTAATTGGAATAACGGGCGGCAACTGGAAAAGAAAAGAGGGAAGCGAGGCAGGAACAGCAAAATAAAAAGGGAGCAGAGCTTTTAGGAGAGGGGAGAAAGGAGGAGGAGGCGCCTGGAATATCAAAACCGAGCCAGTTTGTGAGGTCGAGCGATTCCATTGAATTTTTCCCAGGAATAATTGCAGGGAGAAGACACAAATTCCGTCAGCTCGGTTGGGAACTTCCATGGATCAGAAAATCAGGAGACGAAATGGATGAGGGCGCTGAAATAACTGCCAGGGAATTCAGCAGGAGCAGCAATTTGCGGGAATAAAAGATGAGAAATGAAGGAAAATGAGGAGTGTGAGGCTTTACCTGAAAGATTTGGCGTTGGATCCAGGGAGGATGGGAGTTCTGTCCTCAGGAAAAGGGAAAAAGAGGAATTGGGGGATGATGGACAGCTCGGGAATAACTCAGGGAAGGAATAATCAAAGTGGGAGCACTTAAGGGATAAAGTGGAGCCTTAATTCCCATCAGGATCCTCCCTCAGGTGCCTGAATGGATGGGAATGATGGGAATTCCCTAAATCTTCCAATAAAACTAGTGGGAAGTGAACCTGGCAGAGGTAGCCCCAGGAAGGATGAATTCCAGAATTTATCATGGATCTTCCAGCAGCTCAAGTCTGGCTTTTGCAATTTTAGGAATGTGGTGAAGGATCAAATCCCAGCTTTGCCCTGCACCAGCAGAATCCCAGGGTATTTCCAAGAGAAGGATTCCTTTGTTTTGCTCGGATGGTGGATGGCAGGACATCACTTTGTGGGAGTTCTTATCCCTAAAATCCATGGAAAAACGGGATGCTGGGATCCCTTTGCACTCGGCAAACTTTGCTCTGTTCCTGGATGGATTCAGGTCTTCCCTACAAAACAATTCCATGAATATCCTCAATCCTACCAGTGCTGTCCCAGGTCTCGCAGCAAGTTCTGGCCTCGAGGCTTTGGCCAAGTGCTCAGAGGGTTGTTTATAATTATTAATAATAGTTATTAATAAAATAATTAATTGGATGAAGGCCTTTTCCTCAGGGAGCAATTCCCACTCTGGATTCCAGGCCTATCAGTAATTCCGTGCTGTGACCAGGAACACACGGGGACTTATTTCTTTGGAAAACCTTGGAAATTTGGAGTTTGGGCCCTTAATTTAAGAGCTGGACTTGATGATCCTGGTGGGTCTTTCCCAACTCCAAATATTCCATGATTCCGTGATTCTGTGAGTCTTTGGTGCTTGGAGACTTTTCCACTTGGGATGAATCCACCAAAGGAATTACAAACGTTAAATAAATGTCTTTTCCTTGTGTTCCTTAATGCAAAATCATGGATTTGTGGAATCATGGAATGGTTTGGGGCAGGGAAGGGACATTAAAGTCCATCCAGTTCCAATCCCAAGGGCAGGGACACCTCCCATTATCCCAGGTTGTTCCAAGCCCTGCCCAACCTGGCCTCGGACACTTCCAGGGATCCAGGGGCATCCATAATTTTTCCGGGAATTTTGTGCCTCCCCATCCTCACAGAGAGGGATTTCTTCCACAAGCCATAACCCCAAACCTGTCATTCCTGGTATCCCTGCTGGTTTTCCAGCAAAACCTCTCGGAACACGGACTTCGGGGAGCAGCTCCCAGTTCCCACGGCCTCTTCCCACCCCTTCCCACATTTCTGGTTGTGGGACAGAAATGTCCAGGCCACACAGGCCTTTGGAAAGACAAGGGAACATTTTCCAACTCACGGAAGATCCCGGTGAGCTCGGTTCTCCTGGCTCCCCCTGCAAGGAAAACAGGATGAGTTATCCTGGGGAAGAGCTGAGATCCCTCTGGAAACAGGGAATGCTGTAGGAATTCTGGGAAAGGGAGAAGGAGAGCTCTGAGGAGCTCCCTACAGCAGCAGCTGGAAGGACAGTGGGATATCCCAAATATCCCGGCTGGAAAGCAACGGATTCCACCGGCTCTAAATGGAGCTTGGAGAACATCTCTCACCTTCCTCCTGGAATGTTGACATTCCAGAAACTCCTTACTGACCATTCCAGCCTGGAAAAGCTCCCAGAGCGCTCTCTGCCCCTTTAAAATCTTTAGGATTTTCCTGGAAAAGTGCAGCTGCTCCTGCTTTTCCGGAGCCTCTGTCATTCCAATCAGCAATTTTGGGGAGGGAATGGAGGATTATATTCCACGGGAAAACTGGGGTGGGATTTTCCATCTCAGCCCTGGCAGGAGATGCCTCAAGTTTGGAGCTCACCTTCTGTCCCACAGGTCCTCTGCTCCCAAAAAGTCCCATCATTCCCTTGGCTCCAGCTTCTCCTTTGATTCCCTAAAACGTTAAAATCCCAGTTAAAAACCTTTTGAGCACCTACTCTCTGGAATTTATCCATGGAAAAACCCATGGAGATAACAAAGATGACCACAAGCACCATTTCCATATCAAAAGTCCATCCCCAGGGGTTGGGAAGGAAGCCGCCAGTGCCAGGACTCGGCAGGAACCTCTGGGAATTGTTATGGAAAAGATTCCGTGCCCAGTGGTGGGGATTGAAGGAAAACAGGCAGGAAGGGGGTTTGGATCCTTGGGATGAGCTGAACCTATGCCAAAAATCCAGGAGAAGACCCTGAGGGGTTCACTGGGGCCAGAGATTCCACTCTCCAAAATCATCCGGAGATTTATCCAGGAGGAGACATTTGTGTGTTATTTTAAGGAATACTTTATGGGTAATTTTTAATGGATTTTTTTTTCTGGAATATTCTTCTGGATTATTTTTTATGGAGTATTTTTCATTGGATTCCAACCCGAAAAATAAAATATGTGAAATTTTATCCAACTTTATAAAACACAGGAAAACCTCCCCCCGCCACGGGAGAACCTCCAAGAGTTTCCTTCACTTTGGGGAGCAGGATCAGAAAAGGTCAGGATCTGCATTCCCACCTGGACTACACCGGGATCCAGCTTCCCATGGGAAATAGCAGGAGCTGGATGTGTCACTGCTGCTGTAGCAGCTTCAATTTATTCAGTCCTGGGTCAGGCTGGTGAAGCCAAAGCCATTTCCGTGAGATGGAAATTGGGATGAGTAGGACACGGAGACGGGAGCTGTGACTCAGCTGGGAGTGGGAGAATTCCGTGATTCTTCCCAGGAAAACGGGGCCGGGTTGGGACCTGGGATGAGCTACCAGGGAAGCAGGGATGAGCTACCAGGGAAGCAAAGGGAGAGGGAGGAGCTCTGCCACCACCCAGGGGACACAAGAGGGACACGGGAGCCACCCAAGCCTTGCCAAGAGCATTCCAGGGGCTCCAGGAGCAGGGACAGCTCCTGGAGAGAGAGGGGCATGTGGGAATGGAATTTTCCCAGTGGGACACTGGAGAAATGGGATGTGTTTGGTGTCCCCAAGCCCTGCCCAGCCCCGTCCTCTCCCTGTCAGTGCCAGAGTTGGGTGTAGCTGTGTTTTCCAGCAGAGACCAGAGAATTCCAGGATGGAATTGGGATGGAAGTGACTTTAAAGATCATCCAGTTCCAATCCCAGCCATGGGACACCTTCCACTGTCCCAGGCTGCTCTGAGCCTCATCCAACCTGGCCTTGGAGACTTCCAGGGATCCGTAATTTTTAATCCATAATTTTTCTGGGAATTCCGTTCACCACCCTCGGTCCCTTCCTCACGGGCTTTGGGAAGTTCCCACCTTTTCTCCTACGGGTCCGTCCTCTCCCTTCTCGCCTTTGTCTCCATCAAAACCTGGCAGTCCCTGCTCACCCTGAAAGGAAAACCAGGAATTGCTGGATTCGAATTCTTCCGTCTCTCCTGGAAGGATCCAGTTGATCCCAGGCAGGGAAGGGACACCTTGGAAAGCCAAACTTACGGGATCTCCTTTGGTGCCTTTGTAGCCCTGGGGTCCAAAAATAGTTATGGACTCACCCTGGAGAGAGGAGAGACAGGGAAAGGGATCCAGCAGGAGCTCACGGATCCCACTGGGAATGCAGTGATTAACAATTACATTAATTGCTAGGGTTAATCACCCTTAATTAAAAGCTGGAACGTGCCCAGAAAACTCCAAATCCTGATGTTTCCCAGTGACCTCCCATCCCTAAAAAACTCCCCAAACCTGGAATTATCCCAGTGCAGTTCTCCTGGATGGAAAGGGACAACAGGATCATTCCCTGATCCCAGGCTGCCACTGCTGGGACAGAATCCATGAGTGACACCTGGGGGTCGGGATTTCCAGCTCTTCCCAGGGTTGGGAATGGAGCTGTCCGTGGTGTTTATGGATGCACTCGGAGCCGAGGAATGGGAATGGTGCTGAGGTCACCCCTCAGAGAGAGGTTTTTGGGGGGGTGACACCCCTAAAGTGTCACCCCTGGGAGCCACAGGAACCCCCTGGACACACCCGTGCTGAGCTCCTCAGAGAGTGGAATCCAGGCTATTCCAAGGAATGTCTCTGCTCTGGAGAAGGGATGGTTGTGTCTCCAAAAGGGATGAGGCGCCTTCTGGTGTTCCCTTTGGAAAAAATTCCTTTCCCTCAACTCCCTTCAGCACAAATATTCCTGCTCTGGGTGATTCTGCCATGCTGGGCTTTTACCAGCTCCACATCCATCAATATTCCCAAAAATCTGACATTTTTTGGACTCCAACCCTCACCACAGGACCCTGCCCAAATTCTGCTTTCAGACACATTCCTGCTTCCCAGCTCTCTAACAGAGGCAGGATGGGGGTCAACAAATTTTGGGAATAAAAAGGAGACAGAAAATCCTGCAGTTTAATCCAACCCCGGGATTCGTGGAGTTATTCCCACACTGATCCAGGGAGAATGAGAGGGAAAATTAAGCTGCAATCAGGTGGAACAAAGCCAAGCCAATTTTTCCCTCCTGCTCCCGTTTTATCTCCGATTCCACCTCCTCTTTTATGAAGGCATCCTTTGGAAAATGCATCCCACATTCCTTTGGCTTGGGAAGAGTTTCGAGGCCTCCTCACGAAGCAAATTAAGAATTGATTGGTCTCCGGAGCGAGTTCCTTTCCAGAAGAGCCTCCTCGGAGACAAATGGGCCTTAATCACTGAATATTGTGTGACTCAAAGGCGGCATCATCACGGATGCTTTTCCAAACCTCATTTTCCAGCGAGCCATTCCGGCCAGGAAGGAACTTAACAAAACGCCGGGCACGAGTTCAGAGGTTTCGGAGCATTTTCCAGGAGCACTCGAGGAGTTATTTTCCCATTACCTGTCAGGAGCCAGCTCAGGCTGTTGGAAATTAAGGTTCGCTTTGGGGTCAGCTGCTCATTCCAAAAATCAGGGGGAATTTTCTTCCTCCCTTAATTCAGGATTTTTTTTTTTTTGTGCCTCAGCAAATCGTTCCCAAAATTACTTTAGTCTTTTTTTTTTTTCTTTTTTTTTTTTTTTTTAGGATCAAATCCATCCCACAAACTCAGCTCCGAGAAATGTTCCCAGTGCAAGGATGGAATCAAAAGATTTAAACTGGTGGAAACC